TCTATTTTCCTAACAGGGGAATTTCATCAGGAATTTCAACCGAAGCCTTCCCTTTTGGGTGACAACGACAACTCAGGAGAGGAAAGAAACCAGTTTATCGATGGAGCAGATGTTCTCCATTCGGAATTTGTGAACTATAAGGCAGGTTTTGAGGACCATCTAATTGTTTTACTCCTTTTCTTCTTTTGGCACCTCAGAATTTAAGTTCAAGGTTACAAACCCATCCCTTTCAATGTCCAGCTTGCCGTGACTGAAGCCTTCAGAACGCCTCAAAGCTCCATGTGTCTGTTGTTTTCCTTTTCTGACGTTAGGAGCTGGCCCTGCCGTGCACGCCTCTCCGTCTGTTTGCTCGTGTATATGATTTTCTTTTTGTATTCAGAAGTTGCTCGGTTTTCCATCACTCAGTGCGTCATGCAAGTTTGCAAACTCATCAGAACTATCATTACCGCACATTAAAAGCTAAAATGGACAAAGATTCACATTCTTTTTCAACATTTCCTAGGGGAATGCTTTTCTTGGGAGTATATCCGTAGTGTAGAGAGAAAAGTCGAGACTTTTAAAATCTGGCAATGAATGTCTTCCCTTTTTGGAAAGGTCACTCTGAGGATGCTTATTCCTGAGGCATCGAAGGGGCAGGTGAAGTCGCTAAGTTGTCAGGCAGCAAAGGGAGGAGGGAGAGCCCTTTACTGAAGCAGGTGGCTGAGGTTCCACTTCGCGACGTGATCAGGTGCCGTGGTATGTTTCCGCCAGCCCTTTTGGTTCAGGTTGTGGCACCCAAGAATCATGGCGATTATTGTTCTGGCAAAATTCAGGTTCACTGTGGCTCGTGAGATGATCTCTGGGTTTTAGTACATTGAAGCCAAGGATGGGATCTCTAAGTGCTCAGCCTTATTTTCAGAGGTTGTGTCATGATGGCTGGACTCAGCCTGAACTAACACCTCTGGGCGTCACCTTCAAGGAAATGAAACACATAACAATCAGATGCAATTTGAGGCATCTTTCTGTTGTTAAGTACTTTATACTTTTTTCCCCCAACAACACACACGTGCACGCACACACACGTGCACACACATACCCTCCTCTCACAGACACTAGAACGCACACTCACACGTGACTCACAGACTCCAGGAGGGACCTGTCAACACCGGGAGGTGCTAAGAGGGCAGTAAGGAATCCAGCTAACCTTTCCGTTGTTGCCAAGAAGGTAACAGATGCTGTTGTCCTGGGCCAGGTGGTTTTTGTTTTGTTTTGTTTTTTAGATTTTTTAAGATTGTGGTCAAGCCCATATAACATGGAATGTACAATCTTAGCCATTTTTAAGGGTCCAGTTCAGTCTGTGTTAAGTATGTTCACATTGTTGTGCAACCAATCTCCACAACTCTTCTCATCTTGCAAAACTGAAACTCTGTACCACTCAACAGCTCCCTGCTCCCCATCCTGCCAGCCCCTGGCGGTGACCGTTCTACCGTCTGCCTTGATGAATTTGATTACTCTAGGTACCTCGCACGCGTAGAATCACACAGTATTTGTCTCTTTGTGACTGGCTTATTTCACTTAGCGCAGTATCCTTGAGGTTTATCCACGTGTGAAACATACATGAGAATTTCCTCCTTTTTAAGGCTGAGTGATGTTCTACTATATGCACATACCACATTCTGTTTATCCATTCATTCACGGATGGACGTTCGGCTGCGTCTGCCTTTTCGCTATTGTGGATAATGCCGCCATAAACACGGGCCAGGGCAGGTTTTGACTCCTGACTGCTGAGTGGCCAGAGGTTCTCAGGAAATCCGTGTGTTCTGTCCACAGGCCGGGGCGGAAGACTGTGAAGAACTGCTCCGGATAGAAGAGGACGCGCACTGGCAAGCTGAGGGCACGTGAGTGCCAGGGGCCCGGTCACGAGCCTCCATCCCTATAAAGTCCACTTTGCAAGCAGACTGGCTGCCTGTCATGATAGAATTTTGGTGCACTTTTCTGTGGGCAAGCTGAGATTCTTACCTCATGATTAGAAGCTGCCAGTTTTTCTCTGTCTGATGCTTACTGTCACAGTATTGGGCAGTAGAGTGCAAGGTTGTGCTTCTTTGGTGGCCTTGACTTTTATCTGATTTGAGGCTGCGAGTAGAAATCTCTGTGGTTCAGAGAATTAGCTAGAATTTTTAGACTGAAGGTTTTACTTTCCTTCCATTTGACCGAAGAAACCAACAACTGGACCTAAAGCAATCTGTAGTGCTGGTCTCAATCTTTACACAAAGTCTTCCAGTTGGAGATTGGAGAAAACCATATACATCTCATGCCCTGGTCCCAAGTCTAATAACTGTCATAGCTAACACTTATTAAATACCATGCACCAGGCACCGTTCTAAATACTTTACAGGCCATAGCTCATTTTATCTTTATAGTAATCTTAAGAGATAAGCTCTGTTCTTGTCCCCCATTTCACAGATGACAAAACTGAGGCACAGAGAGATTGATTATCTTGTCCCAAGGTCACAGACGGTCAGCATTTGAACCCAAGGAATCTCACACCAGATGGAGATTCCTTCTGCTCTACTGTATATAAAGATTTATTGGCAAGATTTATGGGGGAAAAGATGAGTGATTTTATCAGACAGTGAACCATTTCCAGGGGAATTGAATTTAGACCATGTAGCATACAGTAGATTTTTGGTTCCTAAGATTTTATTTTCCATGATCTGGGATGTAGGTGTTGACCTTCCATCATACCTTGTTGGGTTTTTCCCTTTAGTGAGGATTTATTACATTGTTAAAAATTTTCTCTACTTACAGAAAGTCATCGACTCATGTTCT